CCACAAATTGTGTCAGCCCAAACTTGGCTTTTTTTTCTTCTATTAGTTAGTCATAAGGGGGTCCTAAGCTGCCATAGGATACATGCAAGCCCTGCTTATATTTGATCCTGAAATGAATCATTTCCATCTCACAATGGATTGCTGCTGGGCCCGCTGACCTTGTGACTTGCTGGTCTGATAGAACCTAGCTCATAATGGGCAGATGATGCCCCATCTCTACTAGGACCCAGTAGCCTGCTAGGAGCTCTGAACTGGGGCTGGCAATTCAGATTTATCCTAATTGAGGCATGAGAACTGGGCATTTGTTCCCCACACTGACCAGCCATTGTTTTCAGACTGTCCCCAAGTAGAGGGCAAAATCTTGGGTGAGGTAGCTTCCGTTAGCTGAGAGCAATTCCTGCAGAGGGACTTAACTTTTAGTTGTCAGCAGCAAGAATGCCTGGAAACTGCGGAAATGAGTGCCTTCCCCACTCAGATGTTTCCTTCCTGCTAAGGGAGCTCAGTTAGTTACAGGTTCTCTCTGCCCCTTTACTAAAAGTCCCTCCAGGTGAAATGGAGTGACTTATGTGAAGAGTAATTGAACCTGAGAACTTCAGTCCTCCAGCCCTTCTGCCCACTTCTTCCTCTTGGGAGGGAGCTGGTCCACAGAAAGCATGTTTGCACTTCACCTCCTGCACAGATGAATAGGACCCTTAAATGGGAAACCCTGCCCCAATTCAACCCTGCCTGCAACTAGGTAGCAAGTTGGCCTAATTGTGGGATTAAATTAGCAAGCCTATTTGACTCTCACTCAACATTATGTTCTCTGACCTAGCTGTTATCAGTAATATCTTGGACTCCACCTTCAATCTTTTGTTTCTCAACTAATCAGAAGCTGGATGAGGAAAAAGGACATGATTCGCTGGGAGCCCCTTCAAGACTACCACACCTCCATACGGTATTTAAGCTGCTATAGATGTTTGCTAATGGTGATGGTGGTATCTGCAGAAGCACCATGACCTCTTCCATTTCTGCTCCTTTCTGGATGTAGAGTGGCCTTATTTTTAATTCAGCATGCTTCATTCTGTCAGTGCTCTAAGTGGCAGAGAAGACGAACCAAATGAGGAGTGTACTTCATCATTGCTTGAGCAAAACACTGTCCCCGTGTGTTCTCAAAGCTTTACAAAATGTTCTGGGTATTTGTCCTTTTGGTGTTTCTCACTATTTTATTGCTCTCTTCTCTCCTTCAGATTTTGGAACGGCATTAAAGGGCAATATGAGTGCCAGGCACCTGCTACACTTAAAGTAGCCTGTTTCTTCCTTCTCTGTTCTACTGTTTTTAGGCCGTGTTTGTGTATCATAAGACCCTCTTCCCTCAGGATGAATTATTTCCTTGGTAGTTCTTTGATCTCTCAGGGTAATTATCACTGGTGAGTTTACCCTCTAGTTTTCTTGGTATGCACTGAATTCACACTTCTTGTCTGAATCTTAGATTTACCACAGGTATACTTTCCAGAGCTGCATGCTACTTTTACTTGGATTCTTGATGTTTACTTGGTGATTAGCCAGGTTTAACCTCAAAGTATTTATATAAATATGGTATATTGCCCTAAACCGAGTCAAAATGAATGAGTAGCAAATACTTGTTTCATGACCAACTTGCTTTCACTCAAGTTTTTATCAGTTGTAAAATTTTCCATCACTTATTCTTTGCCTGCTGCTTAGCCCTTACCTCCCTTTTTGTGTTGTTTTTGGCATGTTCTGTTCTAAGTTGCATCTGAAATAAGCTTTTCACATATTATTCTCATGCATAGCTTACATCCTCTTTTCCAGGCAGTTCTATCTCAAAGAACATCACAAGGTCAGAGAGATAACCTCTGCCTAATGTGGTAACGAAATAAGACTCTGCATTTTGTGGAGGTTTCCCTGTTTTTTTCCAGGATGGCTCTATATATCTTTTGAGATGTTATAAGGAGTTGTTTCTTTTTGAAGGACATTTGAATATATATCCGTGTCTCTCTATTTATGAGGGTAATACAACCTAGTTACTTGTCTTAGTTATCTAGCACTGCTATAACAGAAACACCACAAGTGGGTGGCTTTAACAAATAGAAATTCATTTTCTCACAGTTTAAGATGCTAGAAGTCCAAATTCAGATCTAAGGGAAGGTTTTCTCTGTAGGCTCTGGGGAAGGCTCCCTTGGTGATCTTCACGTGGCATGGCATCTATCTTCCCCCACCTCTGCTTGCTTCTCTATCTTTAATCTGCTCTTTTATATCTCAAGAGAAATTGATTTATGACACCCTACACTAATACTGTCTAATTATCGTAACACAGAAAATCCATTCCCAAATGGGATTGTAACCACAAGTATAGGGTTAGCATTTACAACACATATTTTTGGGGGACACAATTCAATCCATAACACTACTCTAACATATAATCCCCAAATCTCGGAGGCTTTTGTTTCTTACTCACATCAGTAGTAGTATGGGTTGGATGGCTATTCTCGGTATGGTAATTCCTCCCCGTGGCTTTGCAAAGTTAGAGTCCTTCACTTCTAGCAGTGTACGTAAAGAGAGAAAGGAACTGGAGTGTCTTACTGTCAGGCCTGAACCTGGTGGTTATCCCTTCTGCTTACGTTAAACTGGGCAGAGTTCAGTTTGGTGGCCCTCACCGAACTTTGGGCATTGGTGGTCCATTGGTGTTCTCGCCTTCCATGCAGGAGACTTGGCTTCAATTCCTGACCAGTACACCCCATGTGCAACCATCATCCATCTTTCAGTGGTGGCTTGTGTGTTGCTATAATGCTGAATAGGTTTCAGGGGGGCTTCCAGACTGATACAGACTAGAAAGAAAGGCCTGGCGATCTACTACCAAAAAACCAGCCAGTGAAAACGCTATGGATTGATCACAATGGTCTGATCCTATTGTGCATGGGGTTACCATGAGCTGTGGCTAACTCCATGGCAGCTAACGACAACAGCAAGCTAACTTTAAGGGGGGCCGGGAATGTAGTCTTCCTGGTGCCCCGGGAGAAGGCCTGAAATTGGTAAGCACCGAGGCAGTCTCTAGTACAGTCTTCTAAAATAAAAGAGAACAAATAAATCCCTATTCTAGGACAATAACAATAGCTAAAGTAAAAAGATATTGATGTAAGCAAAGTAATATTAGTAGTTAGTTGGACAGACTTACTTCAGCCCTTTTGGAGCCAGATAATGTAAGAATTTTCATTTATTTCTGAATTACAGGGCTTGCAATTAATGCATTGATATAGTAGTTCACAAAGTAATTTGGATAACTTTGAATTTAATCCACACTTTGTTGTTCAACCATCGCTTTTCTGAAGCCACGTTCTCCCTCTAGGATGGAATTACTTCTCCCTCCTCTGAGCGCTCACAGAGCCCTGGTGGCACAGTGGTTAAGAGGTTGGCTGCTAACCAAAAAGCTGGCCGTTTAAATCCATGAGCAGCTTCTTGGAAACCCTATGGGGCAGTTCTACTCTGTCCTATAGGGTCACTATGAGTGAGAATCGACTCCATGGCAACGGTTCTGGGTTTTTTGGTTTCCTCTGAGCACTCATAGTACATTAATCCTGTCTATTAAGCAGACGCTGAGGCAAACCACAGGAACTCTGTAAGAGCGGGAGCAGGAGAGAAGAATGTCTGTAGTTCCTTAGCCTCTTGCATCCCAGGCAAGTATAGGCTGCCCTGACTGGTCCCTTTTTTATAGGAACATTGTAAGGGAGCAGAGGCACCCATCCAAGTATACAAAAGGAGAGAGAGAGCACTTGCTAGAGGTGACAAGTTTGATGCAGCTTGATTCCCAGAGGAGCTGCATAAGGTGCCACCAGCACCTGGAAGCTTTTTGGAAAGTTGAAACTACACAGACTCTCTATTAGGGGGAAAAGGTGCCACCAGTCCTATTTGGCTTGTTGCCGGGAACCTAGGGGGAGCCACTAGGGACAATCTCATCTGTCTCTCCTCTGTTTCAGTATTTAGTCTATTTTACTGCAATTGGTTTTGCTCCTCTTTTTCCAAGAGAACCATGAGTTTCTCAGTAATGGAGGACTATCTCTTTTTCCCACCACCTGTTTGTCAGTTTGTTGTATTGTGGTGGCATGCATGTTGTTGTGATGCTGGAAGCTATGTCATCAGTATTTCAAATACCAGCAAGGTCACCATGGTTTACAGGTTTTAGTGACTCTTCCAAACTAACACAGACTAGAAAGAAACACCTGGAAACCTACTTTCAAAAATGAGCTAATGAAAACACTCTTTATCACAACAGAGTATTATCTTATATAGTACTTGAAGATGAGCCCCCTGGGTTGGAAAGTACTACACAATAGCTGCAACAATGGACTCAAACATACCAACAATCATGAAGATGACACAGGACCAAGCAATATGTTGCCATGAGTTGGAGCCAACTCAATGGCAACTAACAACAATGTATCTTATTCATCTCTGTGTTCCTAGTATCCCTTTTGACTTATGGCACACAACTGGTGAAACTCATTGGTGAGTGTATTAAAGAAGCAATTATTTAGACTCCTTTCTTAGATCATATAGTTGATCATAGAATTCTGAAGCATGAATAAAATGTTTGGGCAAGGAAAATTTTGTGTTTCCTCTCCACTTCTTACTGTCAGTAAAGATAGTATGAATTGTAATCATTCCAGTCAAAATTATGCCCAATAAACATTCTAAGCAGATTTTTACTCAATTACCCATTACTTGTTCATAGTCAGTTATTTGCAGACCCTGAATGAACTGACAGATTTAAGAAAAAAGTACTAGATGAGTATTAAAAACTGTTTTTATGATTAATTCAAGCTGAGTGTTTCACAGCAGAGTATAAAAGATGAAATACGTGTAGAATGTGTCAATCGCACTGATTTAAACCAAGCTCATTGAGTTTTTTACATTCTAGATTTGATTAGAAAGTCAACTGGTAGTTTGAGGGATAGGAGAATATCTGAAACTTACAATATCCCTTGTTCTTTTTCTCCCTCCAGAATTAAAGGATAAAAACAACTTCATTTATTTTGCGGAGTTAAGGTAAGGATGATTGAACTGAAGAATGTACCAAGAGAGTGACTGACTACCTTCAGGTCTCCAGTCCTCTTTTTTGTCTCCCTGGACTAGAAGTGAACACTTGGTCTATTCCACCAGTTGCATAGAACCAGCCTCTCTGTAAAAATGGAGTGGTGGTGAAGTCATCTGATCTCCTCTAACTTCACAAGGGGGAAGGAGAATCACGATCAACAGCCCAAGGTTGGTTCCTATGAGGCAGAGTTCAGATATGCCTCCTCTCTCTCCCCTTTATACCAATTCTGGCACCAACTGTCCCTCCCACGGCACTCTACTTTTTGGTAATTTCTTGCAATGGCCACATAGAACCCACAGACAGTACTCACGATTATGGGATTTATTAGGGAAGTAATAGGTTACAATTCAAGTTCAGGAACTCTCAGGATACAGTTCTTCGATCAGGACAACCTCTTCTCAGCCATGCCCGCAGGCACACCTCTCTGGCCCCTCGGCTTCTTGGCCCCTCCGCCCAGCCTCTGCCCTGCTCCGGCAAGTGTTACAAAGCTCTTTTAGCTCTGCTAATAAGAGCCCAGAGGCACTCCACTCTGCCAGCAAGCCTCTTGCCCGAAGGCACTCAGCCTTCTCACTCCTTGGGCCGGGAAGCCCCACTGCAGCCGTCTCTTGCCAGTCTCCTGAGTCCTGCTGTCTCACACTGCCATCTCTCACTGTCTTCTGTGTTACAGCTCCTGTCTCTGTCTCCTGGATCTAGGAGGCTCTTAGTGCAGGGATCCTGGACCCAAAGGACATGCTACACTCCTGGCTCTTCTTTCTTGGTAGTGTTGAGATCCTCTCTCTCTCTGTGTCTCACTTTAAGCTTAGCTGGGTGTCAAAACTGACCAATCTCCTCATTAGGGTTCCATATACCTTATTTGCATGGTCCCACCCTTACAAAGGTGCCATGCACCTTATTTACATTATTAGGCGCTATCCAATCTCCTTGTTGGGCCACAAGAGCCTCATTTGCATAGTCCCATCCTGTCATTTGGTGGGAGTTACGAAAAATGTGGCTATAGGCTATAAGGGTCATATTAAATAATTCACTGCACTGCACCCGCCATATAAGGAGGCAGAAATCCTGCTCCATTGTTTATTTCACTATGGTCCTCTGTGCTGTCTAGTGTTTTTGATTGCCATGGCAGCTTCTGTTTGGGTTTGACAGCTGCTTTGCCTCTGTTTCTTGGCCTGAATCCTAAACTCGGTTTTGTCTCCTGTCTTTGAAAGATGCTTTCAACCTTAGAGTAATTACTTGCTGCAAATCTCTTGAGCCTCTTGGTCCTCGTTTTCTGTTCTTAGCCAGAATGATGGCTTGCAAGCCTCTGCTTTGGTCTAGATGAAAGTCAGCTTTGAGGAATAACATGTAGAACGCTTCATATTCAGGTTGATGAAGATTAAGCCGTTATCCATTGAAAGTACTATGTGATTTCTTTCGCATGTGGAACCTCTAAAAAGTGTATGCCTTAATCTTCCTCCAGTGCTCCTACCTTCTATTTCAAAATTGTTTAATGTATGCTTGCAACTGAAGGACCTCAAAGGCAATATGTTCAAATTTCAGCCAGAAAGGGATTTGATGTAATTGTGAGGGGCCAGCCAAGACATGTCAGAGGCATCTTATATTTCTCTCTTTTATTTACTCATCAAAATGAATTATTCACCAAGGATTGCCTATTCACCCTCTGCTTCCCATTTCCAAGGTTATTGCCTTAGTTCATGGCCTGGTTCTCTCCTGCTGGGCTACAAAACTAGCTTCGTATTTGGTTTTCCTTCCTCAATTATCTCTTCCTCCCAAAGTTTCTTCCAGAACAGATCCAGGATTAACCTTTTAAAACACAAAGTAATCACATCACTTTCCAGGAAGAAGCATAAGGTAATGGAAACATTTTAAAACATACAAACCTGTGTTCAGATCTTAGGTCCACTAGTCACTAAGTGTCCTTAGATAATTTTTTTCTTTGTTTTTGCGTTTGTTCATCAACAAAATTGGGTTAAGAGTGTTTATCTCAAAGAGTTTTAGTGTGGACTAAATAAGTAACATGTATATCTGGCTCAGTGCCTGACCCATAGTAGACACTCAAAAAGGGTATGTCTTTTCCTTAAAACATCAGTGGTTGCCTATCATATAAAAGAAAATATTCACACTTTATAGAACTGAGTAGATCCCCTCTCATAATCTTCTCTAAATTACCTAAACTACCAGCCACACTTAATAAATCACTATTGCTTAAGCACAGAGTATTTTTTTTCTGACTGTTTCACAGGCTTTTTTCCTTGTATTCAGAATGTTCTCACCCTCTTTGTATTCTGGTTGGGTTTTATTTATTCCTCAAGACCCACCTTAGCTATCCCTCCTCTGTAAAAAATGGTCAAAATCATCCAGCTAATACTATAACAAGCAAAAATGCCTATCAAATTAGAATAAAAGCAAATATTTTTCCAGAATGAACAAATCATATGTCTATTATAATGTATCATTATTTAAATAAGTATTTTTTGCTAAGAAATCTCAGAGAACTTTTCCAAAGTCTTAAATTCTTCGTCTGAGAAGTATAGAGGTTAGCTTTTCTCTTGGGGGACATAAGACAGTGTCTCTAAACTCTTCAAAGTGGTGCATGCTCAGCTGGGTGTCTCCTACACATCCTGGCACTGCTTATGAGTTTGACAGCAGAGAGAGGGAGGAGGATATGAGCATTAAATTCTGAAACGTAATTGACATAGCCCACATGGTTTTCTAAATTAAAAAATGTGCTTACAAAGCACCATTTCTTCTTATTTAAACAAATTGGCTCCCTGATCCCACAAGCTTGACTCCTTTTCCAATCATCAAGCTTACTGCATGTATCTTCCCCAAGTGGCAACATTCCAAATCAAGGCATGGTCCCCATAGGTTTATAAATTGGGCTCTTTTGAGGTTATATTCAAATTCCTAGCCTAATCTACCATTAAATTATGGGAGCTTTAAAGTACAGTTGTGCAGACAACTCTAAATTAGAGCAAAATCCTTTCTAGTTTAAAATTTTCAATTTGTGAAGGTAAAATATTAAATGTGTGGCAGTTCAGGTATTCAAGTTATCAAATGAGGTATAAGGTAAGGTAAACATTTAAGACAGTCAACTCTTTTCTTTTTTTCCTTCCCTTCCTTTCCCTTCCTTCCTTTTCTCCCCTTCCTTTCTTTTCTTTTTTTGTCTTTTTCTTTTGGTCTTGTCTTCAAAGTTAAAAAAGAGCTACGGTCTTCAAAGGTAAAAGAGCTACTGGGAAGTAAGTATCCAGTCAAATATCCATAGAAAGTTTTATATTTTTCCACTGACTTATTTGTAGGAAAGTTTCATTTAGGTTAGGTGTGGAGTAAGATATGAAATTTGGCCATTGGATTGATAATTTTTTAGATATTGATTTCAACAAAAAAGGATAGGGTTGTTTTATATCTATATATACATATTTACACCTAGCAACAACAGCAACATTTATTATAACCAGAAACGATACAAACATACAGACACATCAGGCAAGGTTTGGGAGAGGTTCTGGTGGCATGAGGCTTCTATCGTCCCCAAGGATCTTCTCCTGTGCATGGATGTTCTTAGTCATCCAGCAAGCCCCAAAGAAAGAGCTCCAAGACCCTGGGACCTCAGTGAATATTGTCTCAGTCATCTAGTGCTGCTTTAAGAGAAATACCACAAGTGGATAGCTTCAACAAAGAAATTAATCTCTCACAGTCTAGTAGGCTACAAGTCCAAATTCAGGCTGTCAGCTCCAGGGGAAGGCTTTTCTCTCTCTTGTCATCATCAATCTTTCTCTGGACTAGGAGTTTCTCTGTGCAGGAACCTCAGGTCCAAAAGACCTGCTCTGCTCCCGGCACTGCTTTCATGGTGGTATGAGGTCCCCAACTCTCTGCTTGCTTCCCTTTTCCTTTCTCTCTTGAGAGATAAAAGGTGGTGTAGGCCACACCCCAGGGAAACTTCCTTTACATTGGATCAGGGAAGTGCCCTGGGTAACGGTGGTGTTACAATCCCACCCTAACCCTCTTTAACGTAAAATTACAATCACAAAATGGAGGACAACCACACAACACTGGGAATCATGGCCTAGCCAAATTGATCCACACATTTTTTGGGGGACACAATTCAATCCATGACATTCCACCCTTTGGCCCCCCAAAAATCACATCCTTGCAACACACAAAACATATTGATCCCATCATATTATAGCAAGTCTTAACTCCAAGTCCAAAATCCAAAAATTCCTCTTCATCTGTGAAATCTAGAATACAAGTTATCTGCCTCCAAAGGTACAATGGCAGAACAGGCACAAGCTAGACATTTCCATCATAAATGGGAGAAACTGGAGAAGAACAAGGGATAACAGGCACCAAGCAAGTCAGCAGAACACTTTACATTAGCCCTCGAGGCTTGGAAAATAAACCTCTGTTCTCTGAGACAATTCACACAATGTCCTTGCCCTGCAGACTCTAGGTATTGGCCACAGTCTCTGGATTCTGAGTGGAGGCCCCTTGGCCCTGGGCTTCAGCTCCCCCTTCCAGGACCACTGCGACAGCAACTCTGCTCCCTTGGCTTTAGGCGCATCATTCTCCTAGCCCATTGGAGTGACAACTCCACCCTTAGAAACACCAGAGGCCATGGCTCCACCCTTTGAAACCCCTGAGGTCATGGCCATACCTTTTGAGACTGAGGCAGCTCCGCTTCTGGTCTTCCTAGTCTCTTCAGCTTCTGCTTCCTGTGGCCTCTTGGCCCTCGGGCCTCACGCCCACATCTGCCCTGCAGGGGCAAGTGTTCCAAAGCTCAGTAGCTCCACCAATAAGTGCCCTGAGGCGCCCCACTCCACCAGAAAGCCTCCTGCGCACAGACACTCAGCTCTCGCTCAGCGGGTCAGCTCCAGTGCTGTCTCGCTCTGGTCTCCTGGTTCTGCTGCTGTTGGTTGTCTGCCACTGCCACTTCTCTGCTGTTGCAGGTTCT